GGGGGGGGGGGGGGGGGGAGACAGGGGTATTCTGAAAGAATGAAGCCAATGTGTAAAGCATCTTTACATTGTGCTGATTCAAACCATGTTTGACCTGCGTGGGTATTTTAAAAATACACACCATGGCAGAGAGAACGACAAACTCTTAAGCTAGTGACAGAGCTGTCAAACATCAGCACGTTAAGCTATACAGATAGATGTGGAAAAAAAAAGTGGCTGATATCAAGGAGCATCTTGATTTAAACTCGAGAAGGACTGCTAGCGTAATTGCTGTTTTGCAATTGCACTTCTGTAATGGTCAGTTATCTCTGACTATGGTGGTAATCACTTGCTGAGATGAAGAACAGAAGCAAAGTTAAGCAATACTAAATAATAGAGCATGGGGGGGGAGGGGTTAAGAGAACCCTTAAAAGAAGGTCAGACAAATATAAAAAACAAAGAAGGAAAATTACACAGCTACTGATAAAGTTTCTGAATCGCAGTGTAACAGATGACAGGGGAACCCGTTCTCCCCAAAACGCCTTCTGCTCTCCCCTCTTCTCCTTATCCTTCTCTGCAAAAGAAAACTTAACTTTTATTTATGCCTATACATAAGTGCTGAGAATCAAAGGCATTGCACCCAGCTTCTGGGCAAGGCAGCACACTGCAGAAAAACAAAAAGGCCATTATTTGGATGGAAGAATCAGCCTGTATTACTGACTTGACTGGTCCCTTTTTTATTAGCAGCTGTTAGAGCAGGGATCAGAGAGTGTGTTGGTGTGGTGCAGCTGTTCCACATATGTTATAAATAAGGGCTATTAAAAGCTCATCCTATTTTTAACATGATGAAAAAAAAATAATCAAGAAGTCACAGAAATTTCCCATTAATGCCTTGTAAGTGGAACTTTTCTCCTATTCTTGACTTTAATGCCCAGAACTGAATGGACAAAACAGGTCACTCTTAAAATAATATTCATTTAAAAAGAAAAGAAAAGAAAAGAAAATGCAATTTAATGGAATTAGATTAGGCCAGCCCGGAAGATGTAACCAATTAGTGTGTACAGTGTCTTTTCCTTCAAAAGCAGACACTTAATCAGGATGAAACCAAACTCCTGCAATTCTGTTTCTAACAAAAATGTTGGATTATCACACTGAAGAGTTTCTCTAGCACAACCCAAAAGCTGAACCCAGACACCACCACCCGCCTTTCCCAAACTGGTCCTTGCTTGGCCCTCACTGGGTTGCTGTGTGTGACCAGATCCCATGACCAGCTCCTCCTCACCAACCCCATGACTGAAAAGATCAACAGCAATTCAAGGCGAAGGTAAAATTCCAACCTTGGGCAAATCCTTTGCTCACCTGTTTTCAGGGTCTGACACTGTCATGTTGCGTGTCACGTAGCACATCTTGAGTGGTATTGTCTTCTTGTCTCTGTGGATGGAGAGTGAAAGCTGCGACAGGGGGTCAGCTGAGGTACAACCCAAGCGGGGAGATTCTGGGGGAGGCGTCTCCCACCCAATTTCTGAAACAGGAGAGCCTTTTTTCACATAGGGGGTTGCTTCTCTCATGTATTTCACTATAGAGGAAAAAAAAAAAAAAAGGAAAAGGAAAGTAATAAATAAATGGATATTCAGTAGTTGTATCCCATGTGAATTCTTTAAACTGTTACTAGCCCTCAGCACTGTTTATTATTTTTACTCATCCAGCATTACGGCATTGGAAGCTGTGCAGATACAGAAGATGAAGATCTGACTCCTGCCCATCTCAGTAGGGTGCAATGAGTAAAACAAGGGAAAAGAACAGAATCAGCGAAATAAGAACTTATAGATAGTGTAAGGCCAGGAGAGCCATACAACTTTTATTTGACAGGCTTTAAGTCCTCATGCAGCAATTCCTTTGTACAGAAGCCATGAGATAGCTGAGGTATAGGGAATTTTTAAAGAAAGACATTCAACCAAGTGACAGTGAATCTATTATTCCCCTATCTAAAATATTCCAGCGATACCCCAAGTGCTGCAGCCTTCTGGTTCATGCTTGTCAGTGCCCTGCCACTGATCTCAACAGCTACTTCTGCTTGCTGGGAAGCAGTGTTAGCCAATCTACTTGTACATACATATATGAAGTAAACAAAAAACAATTCACCTCTTCAACTTCTCTCAGGGAAATAAAATTGAGTTCAAGCCTTTTGTGAGAGTGAAAGTGTCAGATTAGATCTCTTCTCAGCCTCTTCCAATGCTTTTTTCCAGTACGGATAGGAAGGGTGGATGCAGGAATCCCAAATGATCTTACTTGTATTCAAAAATCAATACCCTTTTTACACTTGTACTTTGTATTCCCCTCTTTATGCAGGCAAATATTGCAACATTTTCCCTCCTCTTGAATTCTTTTGGCAGTTCAAGATCATTTTACCTTTTGCTTTTCATGTTCTTGGCAAATCTACCAGGCATAGGCTCCTTCTCCCTCACAAACCTGACAGAGCTCAACCAAGAAAAGCCCTCACATTTAAGCACCCTGGTTAAACATATATATCCAACTTACACAGCTGTGGCTGCCTAACTGGCTATTGCCACTTGATTATACCCATGACTCAAACAGCGACGACACGAATCGAAAGGTCAGGAGCACCGTGAACTTATTTAGGGAAGTTATTAAAATGCTGTGAGAGATTATTTCAAGGAAATGGTGCAGATCATCATGTTAGCTCAGCTGAAGAAGCTGGGAATGACTGAGTAACAAAATAACGAGCAAATTACAGAAGGGCATTGTGGTGAAGGAGGTTAAATTAGGGAAAGCAGACTGCTGTTTTGAAGTCCAAAGTAAAAGCAAGGGAAGTATTCAGAGGAATGGAGAAGAAAATGGTGTTTCTGTCAAAACCACAGATAGGGTGAGTAATTTCAGCAGCACTTTTTCAAGGCACTCTATAACAGCTTTACTGAGAGATACCTGTGCAAAACTAGAGTGTAGGCTCTGTGAGCATCTATTGACATCATTTCTCTAAAATATGTTAGCGCACATCTTGCTGTTGCTCGCTCTCTCCTTTTTAACAAATCTATTAATTTCAATTATAAGGACTTTTGTATTAGTTATTTTACAGGACATTCCTCATTTGTGATTTATCAGAAATGCTGTTCTACCCAACACCACTGTTTTGATCTCTTTTTCGCATACCCTTCTGAGTGATTTTTAAAATTAATTTCTTCCCTGCTCAAGAAAGAGCTGGCATGGGATTCTGCCAGACTGCCATAAACTATTTAAGGCAAAAGGTGTTGAGATTGATTTTTTGATCTTTTTGCAGACATCTACCTAAAGTCCATTATCTAAAAACCTGTGTCATGTAACTCTCAAAACCAGAGCTCATCCTTGGGTACTCCATAAATTACCTGATTTTCAGTGATGCTGAAAATCAGTAGTTTTAGTCAGTGTCATAGAGATATTGGTTTTAGCAGTAGGTGCCTCAGTTTGGATGCACTCATAGCCTTTGGGAAACAGAGAGACTGAACACATACAGAGGTGGTGAATCTGTTCCTGTTTACACTGAATGGATATGACTGTCATTAACTTAGATGCGAGGAACAGCCGAAGCTATAAAAATCATGTTTGACCGCATGCAACATTTTGTTCCCTTTAAAATTAGAGATTACCAATTAATCTGTTGAAAAAAGTAATCCAGTGGGCTTTTGAGCACTGGTACAGTGACGTGCCAGCAAACATGATGCTAAATAAAGGTCCAGGTCTCAATAATGTAGCTATTTCCTCTGTGCTATTTTCATCCTCTTTCAGCAGAAGCGATATGCATTAGACCTGAGCACATTTTCATTAAGGAAAGGAGAGAGGGGTAGGGAGAGGAAGGAAACCGAAGTGAAAAATTTGCCTCTAAACCTAAACAAGAACACAGAATGTGAATTTAATTCCCCAGAGACGGGTGCAAAAGAAAAGAACCACCCCTTCCATGTGCCAAGAAGCCATGTTTCCATGGGATGCGCTGGTGAGTTTGCGGCAGGCAGCTACTCTGTTTTAGAAACTCCTGTGAAAGAGGAAGCAGGAGAGAGCAGAAACACAACCCTCTTTCCACAAACTGAGTCTCAAACACAGCAGAGGCCAAGAAAATTACCTTAAGGAAAAATGTCCTATGAAAACTCCTGCCAACTTCTGACCTCCCAGACATCTGGTTTCTAGTAACTCTCAAAAGGAGATGAATGCTCAGAGCCAGAGACTTACATGAATAAAAACCCATTAATATACCAGTCAATTGCTGGACACCATCTTCCTACAAAATTCTACAGGAAGATTAAAAAAAAAAAGTGAATACAGGTTTTCTTTAAAAAAAAACAAAAACAAAAACAAACCAAAACAACAACAACAAAAACCCAACAAAAAACCAAAACCCAAAACTTGGTAGTTTTCTACAAATTAATCCTAACTTCCCACTAAATACAAGCACAGCTTTCTAGATTCATGATGAATACTGCTGGGTTTACAAATCAGACTTTATGGCTCCTGCATATTCAAATGTGTTTCATATTTTAAAAGCCCCCAATGGATACATATAAATGCACAAATGGAATATTGGAGTAGAACAGGTGGCAGAAGTTGATCTATTTATGTATTTTTTTGTATTATTTAAATTTTGGAACCAATGTTTTCCATTTGCCCCATCAACATCCATAATTACATGTCTATAACCTAAGTCCAGTTTATGAATTTAGCTGAAGTAAGGCACGTGCTGTTCAGAGGATTCCTAAGTTTTATCAGCAATTATTTCCTATTTACATCTAAACTCAGGATGCAAATACTGCAGAACACTGTGTTAGACCATGCACCAGTAAGCCTACTACATACACAGCAATTTATGGTGACCCCACACGTGTCTACATTTTGCAGTCTGTCCATTAACCAGTTCTTAATCCACCCAGTAAAAAACAAGTTGATACCAGTATGTATAATAGGCATGTTCCCATTCCACACTGAACTATCAGAGAATCTTGAATGCAGCAATGTTAATGTATAACTACAGTTATACAATATAATGCCATCATCAAGTTTTAAAACCAGAAAAAATACGATACAGACTATTGGACATTAAAGTAATAATGTGGGCAATATTCTGTTTTCAGACCATTACACTCAAGAGCTAGATTTCCCTTTGGATACAGTAGCACAAATCCAGGTATCGACTGAAAAAGAAAGAAAGCAAGTGACTATAGAGATCTTTGCTTTTATATATTGCCAAAGAAACCACCGAAGGGATAAACCCACCCCCCCTCAAATTTAATAAAATTAAGACATGTCATTGTGTAACAACTCTGAATCATATATAACTATACAATAGGTATGTATATACATATGCCTTCAGATTAGATAAATATCTCTAGTATATATACAAATATTAAATATATATTTATATTAAAATGCTACATTCTTTAAGACCACCAGAAAGTACTTTGCAAGCACAGAAACCAACATGCAGGGACTGAGAAAAAATTCTAATGGTTTCATTATTATGACTCAATTTACTGATAGACTGCAATTTCAGTTGAGAGCTGTCTAAACTTATCCATTTGATTGTATAGCTCAACCTCAGAGATCCTTATATTCAGTACTAATTACTGATCCATGCCCTTTTGGTGCACCACTAATTAGAAACTGCGGTCAAGCAATTAAAATTGCAATCTCCGGAGCACCCCTCCCCACAAAGAGGAGAGGAAGGGAAGTGGCAATCAAATGAATTAATCCACTGATACACACTGAAATACTTTGCATTTATTTTTTGATTTGCAAGACAGGCAATGTAGCTTCCAAAAAAGCACTTCATTTATAGGCAGTGCTGCCAAGTCCCAAGTCTCCACAATTAATCCTTTGTTACTGTTCACAGTTGACTTTGTTTTTTTCTAGGGGGAAAGAACCAGGCTTTTAATGAGAGAAACACTACAGACCAGCTTGGTCAGGTCCTTGGCCAGACACAGTTCTGAGGAATTGGGTCTCCTCTGACACATTCAGACTGTTTCCTAGGAGTGAAGACAAAGACCACTGAAGAGAAGCCAGCACTCCCAAGCAAAGTTCTTTCGTTACTATAGGAATGAGGACAGGATGTGTAGGTTTACAATATGAAAGCAAAAGGAATAACATGCCTGAATCTGCTCAAAAATATGATCGAGGAATTCCCCCTTTGCAGGGGAAAAGCACAGTCTCCTCTTTATGCATGCGTTGTCTCCTAAGTAAGTACTCAGAGACAACTACCAAATCTAAGAAGAAAACATCAGCCAGAAACCTCTTCAGGCTATTTTCAAAGCATGTGCTAATGTTACTGATATCTATACCCAAAAAAGACTTGGTTTTTGAAAGTTCCCTTAAATACGTCTTCATCTGGTCTGGTTTCTGTGAGTGTGAAAGATGGCTCAGAGAAGAGGAGCTAAGCAAGTTCTCCACCATACGTAAGATGTTTTAAGACTGCATGTAGGGATCAACCTTTGGAGTCACTCGAGCCCACAAATTGAGCATGGTGAGATCAATTGCTTTTATCAGCTTATTCAGTATGAAGGGGCTGTTTGACTCATCTGTGCCAAAGCGAGTACACCA